GTGTCCCCCCAGGTGTGTCCCAGGTGTGTCCTCGTGTTCCCCAGGTGTCCCCCAGGTGTCCCCAGGTGTGTTCCCCATGTCCCCAGGTGTCCCCAGGTGTGTCCCCAATCCCCCAGGTGTCCCCAGGTGTGTTCCAGGTGTCCCAGGTGTCCCCCAGGTGTCCCCAGGTGTCTCCCAGGTGTGTCTCCAGGTCCCCCATGACCCCCAGGTGTGTCCCAGGTATCTCCGTGTCCCCCAGGTGTGTCCCCAATCCCCCCAGGTGTGTCCCCAGGTGTGTCCCCCATGTCCCCAGGTGTCTCCAAGTGTCCCCCCAGGTGTCCCCAGGTGTGTCCCAGGTGCGTCCTCGGTGTGTCCCCAATCCCCCAGGTGTCCCTACGTGTGTCCCCATGTCCCCAGGTGTCTCCAGGTGTGTCCCCAGGTGTCCCAGGTGTGTCCCCAGGTGTCCCCAGGTGTGTCCCTAATCCCCCAGGTGTGTCCCCCATGTCCCCAGGTGTCTCCAAGTGTCCCCCCAGGTGTCCCCAGGTGTGTCCCCAATCCCCCAGGTGTTTCCCAGGTGCCCCCATGTCCCCCAGGTGTCCCCAGGTGTGTTCCAGGTGTCCCAGGTGTCCCCAGGTGTGTCCCCAATCCCCCAGGTGTTCCCCAGGTGTGTCCCAGGTGTGTCCCCATGTCCCCCCAAGTGTCCCCAGCTGTCCCCAATCCCCCAGGTGTGTCCCAGGTGTATCCCAGGTCTCCCAGATGTCCCCAGCTGTCCCCCAGGTGTGTCCCCCAGGTGAGTCTCACCTGCCAGGTGTTCCATCATGGCGGGGCTGTGCTGTGGGGTGGGGGCGATGCGGAGCAGTTCCCCGCCGCGGGGCACGGTGGGGGGGTTGATGGCCTGCACGTAGAGACCGCGCAGGAGCAGAGCCCGGCTGAGCCGGGACGCGGCCTGGGCGTCCCCCACCTGGGAGCCCAAAAAACGGCATGGGAACCCCGAAAACACCGAAAAACACCCCAAAAACGGCATGGGAACCCCGAAAACACCGAAAAACACCCAAAAACACCGAAAAACACCCCAAAACACCCCGAAAACAACCCAAAACACCCC